TAGGCCACCAAGGGCCCGTTATGATGCCGTATAAGAGACTCCATATGTCCCTCCTCTTACCCTAGTAGTGAAACCACTTCGTAGCTCTGATGAAGCGCACAAAGTCATAGACACTGGCTGAATCCAGTTCGGCCAGACATTCAAAAGAATAATGGAGGAACGAGCAACGGCGAGCTCTCGCCAGAGCAGGACAGTGGCATAAGTAGTGCTCCACGCTTTCGATTTCCTCCTCATCGCGGCAGCTACGACAGTAGTCGTTTGACTGCAAACCCATTCTAGTGGCGTGGATTCCCATCAGGCAATGCCCGGTGAGAACTCCAATAACATGCCGCAACAGTGGTCGCTCCAAGTGGAGAAGAGGGCGAGATCTACGCTTGTCAAGCTTAGGCCAGATATGTCTTGCTATCCTGCAAGTAGGCTCCGCAGACCATCTTATATTAGCCCGTCCGACAAAGTTATTCTCAAACCAGAGATTGCAAGAAGATAGCGGAATGCCCGCATTACGGGCTATACTGATTGCAGGCAACAAGGTTCCTTTCCTTGCTAGTTCATCTGCAGTACAGTTTCCTGGTATGTGTTTGTGGCGTGGCACCCACACAACATTAGTGACGTAACACCTTGTGCCAGTTCATTAAGAGTACGTCTACATTCCATAACAACCTTCGACGTAGATTTGTCACTATTAAGTGCTTTAATAGCCGCTTGGCTATCAGATAAGATTGTTACCGCCTTCAGATTAATTAGAGAATCGATCAGCCAACTTGCAGCTTCATTTATTGCTGTTAGTTCAGCCTGAAAAACGCTGCATAGATCTGGCAGACGAAAACTGAGGCTAAGTGAGAGTTCTTGCGAGTATACCCCACTTCCTACCTTCAGATTCACTTTGGAGCCATCAGTGTTGAGTCAGAATACGATATCAGGACCGAATCCTCCTCCCATTCTTCCCTTGAGGGGATCCTTGTCTGGAAATAATTCTTTAGTCCCGAAGACGGGACTGTGTAGTCCAGGCGCCTAAAGTCATCTGGAAGATCTTCCAAGATTCTAGAGGGCCCAAACTCGTGTCACTCCATTTGATTAGTGCATTTAATCTAATAGCATTACAGCTTGCCTGTAGTTTACCATATAGGTCCACAGGTAGCAAGTGAAGCAAGGGCTTTAGTCGGCGTCGATGGTAACGCTCCCGTGATCATCATGCACGCCACCCTTTGGACCGCTGTTAATTTGTTTCTTATAGTAGATTTATCTACGGACGGCCACGAAACCGTTATGCCGTAGAATAGAATGGGACGCACAACCGCTGTGTACATCCAGTTCACAATATGAGGCTTCAATCCCCATTTTTTCCCAATCGCCGATTTACAGGCATACATAGCCGTTATAGCTTTCTGGCAGCGCTCTTCTATATTGCGCCGCCAAGTTAACTTTCTGTCAAGAATAATGCCCAGATATCTAACCTCCTCCGAGAAAGTCAGTGTGATACCGTTCAAGGAAGGAGGTTGTAGCCTGACAGCTTTCGTTTTCTTTGCAAACAGAACCATGGCCGTTTTTGCAGGATTGACACTAAGTCCTACTTCTTTGGACCAGGTATCCACGAAGCGTAAGGCGCCTTGAACTAAGTCACATAGAACTTGGAAAGGCTTATCGGTCGAAAGTCACTTGGTTTAACGTGGGAGGGTCTACCTCCCTTGGGAATAAACACAACTTTCGCCAGGGTCCAACCCTTGGGTATGAAACTAAGCTTGATACAAGCCTTATAGATTAAGACAAGTATCGGACATAAAACGTCAGATGCTGACTGAAGTTGGGCAGGGAAGATACCATCCATACCTGGAGATTTGTAGGGCTGGAAGGACTTTATGGCCCAGTCTACCCTTTGTACATCAATAAAGTCCACTGAAGTCAACGGCCGTTCAGAGATAATAGCCGCGGTGTTGGGCTCCGTGTAGTGACTTTCGTCAAAAGTAGGTAAACGTGGAAACAATAACCAAACGATAAGCCAAACAGACATATGACCGTTCTGGGGTCATAAACCCTTTAACGTTCATTCTTTTATTGCATTTCATTGCAGCGTATGCGATGACATATGATCACAAGACAAACCCAAGTGGAAGGTCCAAAAGCAATTGAACCCAAAATAGTTTGACACATTTACCAAATGTGTTAGTCATCGATTGGATATTGTTTTCAACGCTATATAAGTAGAACTAAGTTCATAAGTAGTTCAGTTACTGGAAATCATTCAATAAACACTGTTGATTTTAAAACCTAATAAAACATAAACACTTTTCATTTTAATAAATCTAACTTGCTCTTTGGCACTCACCCATAGTGACAAGACAAGATTAGATTGGATAGGCGGCTTTCTTGAGAGCTCTGTCCACAGCACAATCTATATAAGGCTAAGCACTTGATGGCAAAGTAAGGCAATCTATCCTGGAAAATGCGCGTTCATTAGGACTACAAGCATTTCCTCACGAGATGACGTCCAGTCCCCATTTGGTTTCTGAATATACATCGGGTTCGTCGGACTTTTCGCAAGCATTTTTCGCAGGCGATTTCCCTCCGACTGACCCTCTATACTATCGCAGTAATCCTTCCAGGAGTCCCTTTGGGCTTTCCTGGTGGCATTTTTAAATTTCTTCAGGGCTGCCTTATATGGAGTCCAAGAACCATCGCGCTTTGCCGCATTAAAGAGTTTCCTGCTTTCCTTCCTTAGAGAGGCGATTTCTTTGCTCCACCAGTGTGGCTTCTTCTTTCCTCTCGGAAGTACAAGTGGGCAGGAAGCAGCATCCATGTTGTCTGCTGACCGTTGCCTTTTGCTGCCCAGCTCCCTAGGACGAGAGTGAGTGGGTGCAGGTTTGTTGGCGGCATTTCCTTCCTGAGGTCGCTCACGACTTTCGGAGAGAACGCCCCTCGCCCTCTCAACCACTTCCCTCATACTCTCGGGAACCGGGTCATTGCCGAACTTCCTCAGTAGTCTAGAAGCGGCTCTTCTGTCCCTCTTCGCCCTGACTGCTGGTCGGACTTCTTTTTTGGTCCTCGAACCACTGGGACCTGGGACGCCTTTGCGTTGATCCGACTTCTTACCCTCAAGGGGCTTGCGGTCGGTGGTGCTGTCCGTGCAGGACTTCTGGGTGCCAGTATCGCCTTCACCCGGTGCCGCTTTGGAGCTGCCCTCAAGGGGTGTACTCGCAGCTTCCAGAGATGTGGACGACTGGCACGAGAGGTCAATTGGCTGTGCAGGCTCCGCTTGCAGCCCAGACGCCAGTTGGCCACTACCCACCAGGGGTTTGCTGCTACTGACGCCGGGCGCAACATTCAGTATGGTTAGCCGTTTAGGTTCTTCGGGACCGCTCCAGCGGCTACCGAAGATGTCGTTTTTAGACTGACTTTAACGCCGTGTCCGTCGGCGGCATTTTTACCCGTGCAGGGATCCGGGGCTACATTTTTCGAGTTCATTTATCAGCTGGTTCGTTGGTCGCCTACTGAGCCGAAACCGTTCGGCGACCGAATATATGGGTAAGGGGAAAAACGGTCGGCCTCAGCAGAGCCCCATGCTGAGGTAAGTCCACCGTTACTCCCGGAGGCGGACAGGTATCCGGGAGGCGCCGTTAGAATACAGTCGGAAAACCCCCTGACTGCAAACCATCCAATGGGCACGGTGACGCATGACACCCTGGATTAGGGGGGCGTTTTATACCTACCGCCAGGTACCCCCTAGAAATAGCCTAAGTATGCCCACCCCAGCCCCCCTTGGGCGAGCCCGTACGGCCTACCACTAGACTTAGACGAGGCAGGGGAGTTTATACCTCGGCCTTGGCTAGGCCCCACCTGCTTGCACCACTGCGGCCATAGGAACAAGCCTACCTTGCCACAGCGGTGTAAGCAACGATGCCCATTGCCCAGTCGGCACCCGCTTGGAGGATATATCTAGGGGGATTTTCGCCAACCTAGACGGATACTTATGGGAAAAGGTATCCAAATTTACACTGAGGAAAAAAACGACGTATCCCTCAAAATTTAAGGCGAAAATGTATCCAATTAGATACATATGTATCAAAGCGGCAACATTGGGTCTACACTATATTGTAAAGCCTAATTTAGTAATTTTCGGTCACTAATTTATTTATAAAATCGGTCTGAAAAATGCACTTTTTTGTGAATTTCGGAGTGAGTTCTACGCAAATATACTGTGAATGGCCTACCCGGAGTTATATGCACAAGAAATGTTGAATACCTTTGACAATAGAAAGGTGTTCTGAACAAAAATACTCTTTATCGAGTTTACAGTTCCGGTGTCAAAATGGTAATTTTAGACCATTTTCCAATGGTTCTCCAGGGGTCTGTGATAGGTTTCGAGGGGTCAAGTGTGACTTTCTACAAAGTGTGAACTGTGTTCTTTCTAGTGGGCAAGATATTAAGACCCATGAACCTCCCCCTCCGCCCACTAACCCAAAAAATAGTGGGAAAATAACTAAACAATTTAATCCAATTTAACTATTTTTGTGTTAATATTTCTGCGTAGTTTTATACAATTATTGAAACATTACAAGACAAAATGAAGTGTGCAGTGGCAAATTTTAAAAATGAAAACAAAAGGCAACTTACATACATATCTATATACATATAACTTCATGCATTTTTCCAACATCCGGCATGTGCTGAAAATCGTACTTACGTAAAGGGCTACATGGCCAAAATCATTGCTACGTGTTCCTACTTAATTAAACTTTGCATATTTAGTAATTCCTGCAAAATTGGACCATTTAATATTGATATTAACACAGTTTTCCGTATTGTTTACAATTTTTCCTTCGTATTTACTTGTCTCTCTCGCAATTGCACCAAAATGACGTCACGCGAAAACTACTCTCAAAAATCCTCTCTGATGGGCGCAATCTTGTACTCTATCATTCTTAGTATAAAATTATGAAATTTGCCTTTTATAAATATACACTTGCTTCTTACCAAGAATCTAATGAAAGCATTTATCTTCACAGAACATGTAAATCTGATAGCGGTATACGCGCCTTCACACAAACCGCAAATAATCGTCCACCACGAGGCGCTGATAAAATACGTGCTGCCTCCGGACCATCGATATTACCCCGTCCCGAAGATATTTTAATTAATGATGCTGAGGTAAGCATACTACTAACAACTCTTTACATACATATGCACAAATAATTAATTTATTATTCCGCTTTTACATGAATTCCTTATTATTCGAATATGAAATTAAATATACTCTACTGCTCACACACAAACACAGCTACGGCAGGAGGAGAACGTGGAGTTGCGTTCCGCAGATGCTCCTATGGCACCACATCCACTGCCTATGCCGGAGTATGGTGGATACTTTGCCCCACTTACTGAATTCTTACCAGACGCCAGTTTGCCAATCAGCGGCTTTCACCGGTTAGTAAACGTCGATGTTGTTGTTGCATCCTTTGTTAGTTATCACTAGGAAGCGGATTTCCATGCACTGTAAATTGAAAAATATTCGCACATAATAGACATTCAAAACAAAACAAATAAATATGTAGTGTCTTTAAAAAAGTGTATTGAAAGCACAAGCATTTGCAGAAATAATAGTACTGTACATAGCACATCCATGTACATAAAGTGACCCAAGAGGAAATGTGACAGTTTTTTTTTTACAATATTCACAATGATTATCTATATATTAATACGCTAACATGAATTTTGTCTCCGTTCGTTTGGTGATTCTACCGAACCGATTTCCAAACCAAGAACACCATTGGAAAGGCATTTTTCTGTAGATGAGCAGAGTTTTTATGGTTTCCAAATTGGTTGCATTTTACGGCCTAAACCGTCGTTTAAACATTTCCGTATTTGTGTATAGATGTTGCTACAACATGTTCAATTTGACATGTTTCGCATGTTGTTTCACTTCGCATTTGAAATTAAGCTTTGAAATAAAGATAAATATGAAGATGAAAAAAGAAATGATAACGATGAAGTTAAAAAAAGAAGGTAAAAGTGAAGATAAAGACAAAAATGGAGTCAATGACAGATAAAGAAGAATTAGGGTAACTGAAAGGGTAAGAAAATTTCTTGAATTTATGAAGTGAAACTTCTTTAGCGGCAGTTGGTTGGTTGGGAGCAAATTGTCAAATTCAAGTGGAATAATGCACATGGAAATGGTTCTCAGCGGTTTAGCGGTTTGAGAATAAAAACCAAAACAAAGATGCCAAAAACGAAGATCAAGGTAAATTTAAACACTTTAAGGTAAAGGTGAAGAGGAATATGGAAAAATAAAGATAAACATGAAGAAAAGGATGAGGATGAAGACCGATATTGTTATCAATATAAAACTCGATATTTTCATCGATATAAAACTCGATATTGTTATCGATACTGTTGTTGAATAAATAACCGCTATTGTAATCGATATGATAATCGATATTGTTATCGATATAATAATCGATATTGTTATCTATACAATAATGAATATTGTTATCGGTATAATAATCGATTAAATACTTGATTTTGTTATCGATTTAGTAATAGATATTGATATGTATAATAGTCGATACTGATGATTATGATGTTTATCGATGAACGAATCGATTTTGCAATCGTTATATTTTTCTATATGTTTATGGGCATTGTTATCGGTATTTTTATCGACACAGTTATCGACAGCGTTATCGATATAATAATCGGAACATGGAATGTGATCACATTACATCTCATCCCACGATATTACGTGACATGACATCATATGATACGACATCACATTATATGGCATGACATCACATGATATGACATCGTATGACATGACATGGCATTACATGATATGACATCATATGGTATGACATTATATGACACACAGGATATGACAGCACATGACATGACATCCTATCACATCACATCCTATCACATCACATCAAATCACGTCATATCTTATCACGTCATCGCACCTCATCTCATCTACGTGAATAGATAAAGAAAAGGATAAAAGCAAAGATATGAAGGATAAAAACAAAGATGAAGACCAAGGTAAATATACCGATTTCAAAACCAAAAACACCGTTGGAAAGGTAACTTTCTGTAGATGAGGGAGGTTTTATAGTTTCGAAATTGGTTGAAAATCGTCGTTTAAAAATTTCCATATTTGTCTATGGTTGTTTTTGTAACCTGTTCAATTTAAGCTATTTCGCATTTCGTTTTACTTCGTATTTGAAATTATACTTTGAAATAAAGATAAATATGGAGATGAAGAAATAAGTGATAAAAATGAAGACAAAAAAAGAAGGCAAAAGTGAAGATAAAGGCGAAAATAGAGATAAAGGCGAAAATGGAGACAATGAGAAAAAAATCTCACAAAACAACGCAGAGGTTTAGTTATCTTTAACACCTTCCCTCCCCCTTGTCAGCAAAAGTAAGCAAAGTTCTTACAAAACAAAAATGCATTTGTAGGGAAATCCGTTCCCTAGTTGATACTTTTTATTTGCCATTATCCTCTTTAACATTTGCGTTCCCATTGCTACTTTTAGCTGCAACGTTGCCGTGATGTTGTTAACAGACATTGTTGTCGACGGTATTCCGGGAATTGATTGGACGTTGCATTTACCATTGATGCTGCATATTTCATTTTTAGGTATAGATCATACGCGCGTTATGGTGCGAGAACATTGCAAGCAGCTTTGTATTAATTTATTGGTAAGTTGTGCTGCTATTAACTACCTTTTCATAGCCGTTGTGTGAATGCATTACTTCTATTTTTCTGATGTTAAAGCGTTAATAATTTATATACATATCGCTCATTTACTAAAAGCCTATCATACCGTTTTTGCTTAGATCGTTTTGGCTGAGCATAATGACCATCTGACTGTCGCTCGCATTTTGTTGAACTGCGAAACAATGAAACTCGACTTGGGGCTATCGGTGCCATCCTTGCCGGTAATAGACAACATATTTACAGGTGCGTATGAATTGTAAAATTGAGAGCTCAAAGTTACAATAAGAAAAACGTCTGATCAAAGTCATATTTCAGCAACTTATGAAAATAATGAATTACTTTAATAATTTTTAAGTTTAAAATAACGTAATCGAGCTCCAAAAGGTTCTAAAGTAAGCACCCAGCAAAAAATCGGTAATCGCTTTTAGTGGTAACGTGTTCTAGAAGGCATAGCGTTGTAATGCCTTAGAATGTCCTACAATATTTTATTTATTTCGCTTCTTTGTTTCATTTTGGGGAATGCAAAGTAGAATGTCCTACAATATTTTTTTTTATTTCGCTTCTTTGCTTCATTTCAGGGAATGCAAAGTAGAATGTCCTACAATATTTTTTGTTTATTTCGCTTCTTTGCTTCATTTCGGGGAATGCAAAGTAGAATGCTGCATCCTAGTCAGCTGAAAAATAGAATGAATATCAAAAAAATCTTTTTCTACCGTTAGTTTCTGTGGAAATTTGTCTCCCATAAAAATCATGTTTTGCTTTGTTCAATTTGCAGCGAAGTTGAAGTCAGTCAATGAAGTGAAGTACATGAGTGAGGAAGTACAACTTTAAGCTTAATTAAATATGCATGTATGTACATACCGATTTTTAAGTAAAATCTAAATACCCAAATACATACATATGTTTGTATAAAAACTGATTTATAAAAATTTTAATTAATTTTAATCTTTTAAGACATTTTCTGATTTAATATAAATAAGTATGTACTCATCTGGGCATTCTAAATACATTAGTTTCTCTGTAAGGCATTCTTTGTTCGCTTCTCTGGGTTCTGTTTATCCATGCGTTCTCCCTTCGTTTGAAGGTAATGCTGCGGGTAAGGGCTTACCGCCAATGCCATGCCCATGTTAAAATAAGGCCTTCCTGAAGCGAAAGCGTAAGCGATTCCCATCGCCTAGCTCGTTTACACTTTCGCTTCTGTGGTAATCGTGTTTTTTGCTGGGCAAGTACTAGTTTTCTTACGTTTCTTAGCAAATTCACAAAAATCCGATCAGCTATACCTGAAAACTGCAAGTTCGGGCGAAACCGAATTTTATATACCAGTCGCAGGTATCAACTATCGTCGTTCCAAATTTCTTTAAATTACCTAAAAGTCGTTTTATTTATTGTTAAAAGATGTGTTCCACAACCATATCGTGCACGTCTTGTAATTTTTTAACAGGGTTCGGAAATTCTCACTCACATTCTCACGTTCGCGATTGATAATATTCCAAATAAATTTTTGCATTCTTTTATCGCGAGTGAGAATGCAAACAAATTTAAAATCTCTCAAATTCGGAATGCGATTGACAAAAAAATTTCCGCTGCTTTTCATTCGCGATCGAAAAAAGCAAAGAAATTTCCTCTCACTCGAATATGAGAAGTCCGAGCATTGCCGATTTCGGCCTCTCATAAATGAGAAAAACGATGCAAATAATCCATTCGATCACTCACAACAGCTTATCGCGATAAACTTATCGCGAAAAATTTTCAACGACGTTGTATGGGAGATATTGTTCGCGTTTGTTTTGGGTATGCATTTTGTTATGCATACAGCATACATACATATGCACTAGGGATGTTGCGAATGTGGAATTTTAGACATCCGCGGATGCAAATGCGGATGCGAAGATCTAACAGCTAACATCCGCGGATGCGGATGTCAAGTCTTTTTAAGAAACAATTAGAATTTAGCATAATGGCGAGATCGTTGTTTAAACAGCGCCTACAAGCCAAACCAGATGTGTCAGGTTTTTCTAATGGTGAATTAGTTTCTACCAAAAAAATGTCGCCTTTTGATTGCCCGTCTCTTTTTGTGTTCGATTCTAAATTAAAGGCAAAGGGTGAGAAAATTGTGTGTTCGTTTTTGAAAATGTTACATTATTGTAAGGCAAAAATCACATTTCATGCCCTGTGAAGATTTGCCAGGGAAGATGGTTGCCCTGAAAATCAGATGGTTGTTTAAAACAGCAGTCTTATGAAATGGGTGAGCTAGACAAGGACAAGAAGGCAAAAACACGCTTTTTTACAGGGTTGTGTGGAACATCAAGCACATTTTGCACCGGGGAAGGGCAACATTTAAATCACCATAAAGCTTTTTAAAAAGAATTCTTCACTTTCATTCCTTTGGCTGTTTCAGAATTTGGGGAATCTGTAAATTCATCGGCGTTTTTCGATTTCAGTTTCTGTAATTAATTTTTAATACTTTATTCTGCGGCTGGTTTGAAAAATTAGTACTTATAGCGAGCTGTGGAAAATATATTATTATTTTCCAGGAATGAAAATTTTGAACAAAATTCTGTTTTCAAAGTCGTGACTGCCAGCCGAATCGGATCAGAATATTGTTATTTTTTTAAAACAGCACCCTGTTTTTTATAAGCATTTGAATCTCAGATAGTTACGTTATTCTTATCTTATTAAAGGTCAGACCCATAGTTTTTTAATTATTTGAGCATCGATTCTCTTTATAGCCAGACGTTGAACATTTCTGCTGGGAATCCCTATTGAAGGAGCGTACTCTTTGACTTTAAATAGCAAAGAAGGGACAGTTTTACCACAAGATTTTAGCCAAGGATCCAATGTATATCTCTATGAAAAGTATATTGCCCGACAAGTAAACAAAATTACTGTTTTTAAAATTCCCAAAAGAGCCCCATTTGAAATTATTGAAAGGAATATATGTAACATCAAAAGCAAATCACGAAAATGTGGTTAAGAATTGCAGTACACATTTTCTTATTTTTTATCAAGTAGTTTTTTTAAGTTTGGTCCAAAAAAATCATAATAAAGAAATAAACCAATACAGGTATTTAAAGTACAAAAAAAATAAAAAATTGGTAAAAATACCATGTTCTCTTTGATGTACGTCAAAGGTCAAGTAGAAGTTGGAACTTGTATGATTGTCCATTGATAGCTCGGTTATATAGCTAAAGAAATAATATGTTTAAAGACATTTTTATCAAAGTTGATAAAGTTTTGTTACAAATACTCCCACGGCCACAGGCAAAAATATTGGCTACAATTTGTCATTTTATTTGCCATATAGGTATACGTTTTATCGGTGCACTTGCACAACATTCGCATTCGCAAAAGCTCCGCATTGATTATTGCGAATGCGAAAGCGAATGCGAAAGCGAATGCGAATGTGAAAATTAATGCGGAAGCTCCGCGCTAGCGAATGCGAATATTCGCAACAACCCTGATATGTACATATGTATATGTAAGTAATGCAATAAATGCTTTTCGGTTGGAAGGAATGTAGGAATATCCACAAATATATGAATTATGGTGGTAATATATATGTATGTACATATAATAAAATAACATGCAGATACACCATTATACTGAAAAGTGTTCGCTTGGAATATACTTTACCCTGTAGTTCTGCTGGAGTTTTGCTGGTGACTGGTGCTGGTATTTCATGCATCACCGATTGTTAGGCAATTCGCTAGCGACAGGTTATGCGACGCTCGTATTGGAATTATCACATACTAGCGATTTTGTGCATTACTGGTCGTTGGGCAATGCGTTAGCTATTAGCAACCGCCACTTTTGCACCAGGTAATCGCTAGCGAAAGGACAAACCATGCGCACTGCTCGGTACGCTTCCATGACATTGCTATGTTAAATTCGTTAGGAAAAGGAATTGGTATCGCTAATATCGGGTGACCAGTACTCACTACTGGAGGGTCAGCGAAATCGTTAGTGGTACCCGGACGGGTACTAGCGACAAAATTTACGACACCAATTCCTTTGCCTAACGAAATTAACATGGCAATGTCATTGAAGCGTACCGAGAGGGTGCGTGTGGTTTGTCCTTTCGCTAGGGATTACCTGGTGCACAAGTGACGATTACTAATCGCTAGCGTATTGGCTAACGACCAGTAATGCATAAATTCGCTAGTATGTGATATTTTCAATACGAGCTTCGCATAACCTGTCGCTAGCGAATTGCCTAACAATCGGTGATGTATGGAATCACCAGCACCAGTCACCAGCAAAACTCCAACAGAACTACAGGGTAAAGTATATTCCAAGCGTACACTTTTCAGTATAATGGTGTATGGTGTACATGCACTTCTTTCGGGCGTAGGACGGATGGTATTGAAAATGGGCGAAATCGGACAATAACCACGCCTACCTCCCATATAACGGTAATTTTCAGAAATACGAAAACTGCGATATTTTAGTAACTACTGAAGATAATTCACTCAAAATTGACATTTAGAATAACTTTTAGACGATAAATAAGAATATTAAAAATTTTTGAAAAATGGGCGTACAATAACCACGCCCACATCCCATATAACGGTAATATCGAGAAATACGAAATCCTCGATAAATCAGTAAATATTAAAGTTAATTTATTCAAAATAGATGGTTGCAACAATTCTTTATCAGGAAATACGCTTATTATAAAATTTTGGAAAATGGGCGTGACACCGCCCACTTATGATCACATCTATGTATATCGTTAACCGTTTTAGCAATTTGTACCAAACTCGGTATGGTTATTGTGCTTGCCACATAAAAGCAAACCGTTGAAAATTATTGAAATCGGATTAACGGTAAATTTCAGAAATGCTTGAAATTTCAATATTTCGAAATTTAAGGATGCTAGTTTACTTAATATTTATACACCCGCTTATCATGTAGCGGTAGCTTTCGGAAAGGTGGAAAACATATAGTTAATACTTGCGCCGGGTATTTAATGTTCGGCTCCGCCCGAACTTAGACTTTCTTACTTGTTTTTTTATTTCTTTTAAATGTTTCGATTCGCCATTATAAGGATATTAATAAGAAACCACAAATATACACACCTAAACAGAATAAGAATATGTATGGATGTATGTATTACTTAGAAGAAAACTCAATAAAACGAAGGTCTGCATTTCATATCCATGCACACATACATATGTATGTATATTTGTGTGTATCTATATGCATGCAAGATCCAAGAATGATAGATAGTTGCACAAGTGTGACGTCATGCAAACAACGATTCTGTCAAATTCGTTAAGAGAGGAATAGCGGTTCGAGATCGGCGCAACCTTTGTATTCTCTCAATCGTGTGCAAGATCTATACCAGTGGTCGGCGCTTCATACCACAATTGTGGAAGATCAACCCACACGTATTCTTGCGCTCTATCGTTTAGTCGTTGGCTAGAGAGCAACGAATCAACATCGTGCTTGGCTGTTGCGCTTTGTTTCTCAAGAATGATAGAATACAAGATTGCGCCGATCAGAGAGGATTTTTGAGAATAACTTTTCATGAACGAAAGACACAAATCACGCCTTAAGGAAAGAAAGAAAAAAGTTGTTTTCTAGCTGTTGAAATCTCGACGCCATCTTTGTTGTAAGAAGTAAACAACGAAGAGAACAAAAAAAAGCGTAATTGTTGAACGCATGAATAATCATTTTTATTATGCAATTCTCCTATAAATCATGTCGTTATGTTAAATTATTCTTTACCTTATGTGTGCACACGTTGTCGCAAGCGAAAATTAAGAAAATTGCAGTAAAAAGCCACCACCAAATTGTAAACAACGAACAAATGTAAACAAACGGCTTATGTCAAAATCGCCCTACTTTTTTCATAAGTGCGATTATAACGGGCCACTCTTCTGCTGTCGTGATCTTGTCTTTTTGGTTCATGATAACTTTTGTGTGACGTCACACTGGTGCAATTGCGAGAGAGAAATGCCAAAACGTGAGCAAGAATGGAATAAGAAGAAAAATGTTGCAAGGAAAACGTAAACAAGTTGCACAAGTGTGACGTCATGCAAACAACGATTCCGTCAAATTCGTTAAGAGAGGAATAGCGGTCCGAGATCGGCGCAGCCCATGATTCAATAATACAAGGTTAGATAATTATTGACAGTCGCCGTTTGACACTCCCTTACAAAAGGTTGTATTTACGAAGGTGGTAGAAACGGGAAAGAATGAAATCCCTTGGTGCGAAAATAGTAGTAGAAAAGTACGCAAAGTAGGCAATTAGTAGTGAAATTACTTGTGCAAATTGTGATGTATTTGCCAGTAATTTTGCATTTTCAAAGAAAAATTTAACGAAATATTAACAAATCTACTTAATTATGTAATATATGTGCTATTTTGTAGTATAAAAGCTACAAGAGGTCACAAAATTAAAGTCAAACTTCTGAGAATTTCATGTTACCAGTATATTTTGATAATCTTTGTATTTTTTAAATTAAATTTGTTTTTTAAACAACATTAGGTCCCCAAAATTAAAGTAAAACTTCGGTGAATTTCATGTTAGTAGTATATTTTGAAAATCTTTGTATTTTTTTAATTAAATTTGTTTTTTATAAAAAAAGAAACATAAGCAGCAAGTTAAATTTTAATTTCTTATTTACTAAATGCATTACTCAGATATGCGGATTATGTAATTCATGTCCGATACTGATAAAAACTGCAGCACCTTAAAATTAAAATAAAGCCATTGCAATTTTATGCAATCCAATTAACATACGTTAGCTATTATATTATGTGTTCTTAGACTAGTAACTATTGTGTTATTGCATTATGTAGCAGTTGTAGTGTAGTGACCAGCCGTGCGTGCTACCATTCCGCAGAGCCTGGGTTCAAACCTGGTTCAACCCAAGGTCAAAAAATAAACAAAAAAGGTTTTTTTTTTCTAAACCGGTCGCCCTTCGGTAAGCAGTGGGAAACCTCCAAATGTATTCCTCCAATGAAGAGCAGCATTTTCATAAAAATACAATCGCCTAGTCGGCGTAAAAGTGTAGGTCCCTCCATTTTGTGTGACAATATCAAGGCGCACGACACAAATCGGAGGATTGGCTAAACATTAACGTGTGTGTAAGCGCAAATCTATTATTATAAAGTATATTTGCGTGGTGCATATCGCGACTCTGAATCAACGGTGCGTTCTAATTTGCCAAGTGGTCTGCTTTGTGTCAGTGGTATAGCAGGTGCTAAAGATAATACGCAAATTTAGTATATGAAAATTTTATCGAAAACTTAATGATTGTAATTATTGCAAGCTTACCGGAATGATTATGCAGTGGTATTTGGTGGCATGCAAGGAGTACTTGCGTTATGCTGTGGAGCTTCCGGGACGAGTTCCGGGACGAATTGTGGAGGTTGCGGGGCGAGGAGCTGATCTGCGATTTGGGCATGCTAAAAGTAAATAAACAATAAAATATATATTTTTTTTTAATAAATTAAAACTAATTTTTTATTTTCTTTTAATGATTTACCTTGATTTAGCGGAACCGGCTTCTTCTGCGTTTTTTGCGCCTTGTTGAGGTTCTTGATTAACTGGTACATACGAGTTTTAAAATACAATTTTTTTACTTCATCGCTGGCACCAATGTGTTGCGAACATGCGTTGAGCTTACACAAATAGTTCGAGCAAGGTTTTATTTTGTCGCCATTAAACGTCTTGAACACGATCTCCAGGCTTTTGACAACATCCATAAAATCGCTGGATGGCTTAGTCAAGGAGCCTCTGGAGACTTCGTCAACCCAGGTGTACGTATGCTCCTCTGACACATGTTGCGTTAAGCCCAGCTTTCTGATGACGAAACCGGCGATGTACTCCAGGGCGTCCTCGTGTAAGGCGCTAATCCTACGCCTTGCTCGACCTCATTGGGAAACGCTAGCTCATTGGAAAATGCAAATTCTTCGGAAACCACCTCATCATCAGTAAGAAGGCCTTTTAGGTTTTCAACTGATGTGTCACTGAGGCGAAGCCACTCGGTTTCGTCGGTTTCTACATTTCCCCGAGCAGCGTAGCTTTCCGTGTTACGAGCTAAAATAAGATAATGGGTATATATTTATGTAGGTAGATTGAAATCAAAAAATTTTGAAAAAATATTACCCAGCAAATATTTCCGTAATCTATACTTAAAATGCATCGGACTTGGATTGTCAAAAAGCCCCCCCTTTGCACGCATCGCTCCAAAGAAGTTTTCAACAATATCCTGGTTCAACCTGTACGTCAGGATATATCGAAAAGCATATCGCTCCTTTACATACGCATACAAACTTCTGAGAGAACTGTTGCTCAGAAGGACTCCTTTCTGAAAGGGTAACAAGGCCCGCCGCCCAATCGCCCTAGTATGATGCATGCAATCGTCCATGTTCGCTAATACCTGCATTTGCTGTTCTAACTCCATTCCAAAGGGTTTCTTTGTCGGCAGCGACTGGGAATTAGTGAATTTGCGGTTGAAAACGTCGAACCAATCGTTGACCACGGATATGAATTCGGCCGTTTCTAAAGCGTTGTATATATTATGCCCCAATGCATAACACCGTCTAATAGCGCTTGCCGTATTATGGGAGAACAGTTGGACAGCCAGCTTTACCTTTTGCCGTCCTGCGTGGTGAACAGTGAGGTGTGTTTCCGTTAATTTGTAGGCAATTGATGCATCCGACACCGAAGTCAAAGCGAGCAACTGAGCAATTGTTTGCGGTGTTATTGAATTTCCTTTGACCACATAACCTGTGTCAAGGAAATGGTTCCGAAGCAATTTTAGAAGATGCGGTACGTCCGCAAAGACAAAAATCTTCCCGTTGATAGCCGGATTCGGAAACCAGGTTTGCTCTAAAAATAATTATAATATAACAAACTATGGTAAGCTACATACACAGTTTCCTACCACAGCTGACATTCAGTTCCTTCCACAGGGACTGATTCCCTGGGCCCATGTCGGATACTATTCCTACCACGGTGTATCCTACTTCTTGCAATTTGACTACAAGATTTTCCAAAATCGATTTGGTCATCTTGCAGTCATAGGCGCAGAATACTGGTTGCTTCCACGAGGCCTTCAACCCACGCGCGATTGCTAACTGCACGTATTTGCAGGGTTCCCGAATAGTGTCGCATGTGGCATCGTACTCATAAAGCGATTCGACTTTCATCTCATCGAAGCATAAAATACACAGTCTATCCACAACCGGTACCTCATTTCTGCTTTTCATCACATTTAATGAGAAGCTCAATACACCTTCGTCTACTGTGACTTTTTGCAGCCATTTGCGAATGGTTGATTCGCAAGGAAATGGAAATCCCTTACCACATAAGTGGCCATAAGCCCTTGGTCCTGCCGCGTGCAGAGCAATAGCAGAAGAAATGTCTTCCCATGCCCAATGGACTTTCTTATCTGGATCACACAATTTGCGTACCTGGCCGTCCGTAAAAATGGACGAAACAGACTTCTCCAATTTCTCCAGCTCCTTAACCCGCGCTTTCAAGTTTGCTACTTCTATCTCGAGCAATTCAACTTGACAATCTTTTGTTCTAAAGCAAAAAAGTTAGTATATCTAAATTTTGCAGTTACATTTATATTTACTCTGTTTGGGTTGCAATATCGATAAAATTGGAAGAAGTTTCTTCCCAATCGCAAATGCTCTCAATGGCTACCGGTAAGGCATTGTCTAATAACCTCACCCGTTTACGATCGGAACCTAACATAAAATCGGCCGATAAGAAATGATGGGAACACAACTTCGCTGCAGGACTTAGCTGGACTCCGCAAGAGTCAGACCATTTTTTTCTTTTTAAATCATTTTGTGGGACATGGAACATCTTGACTCCTTCTTGAGTCCATGTCTTTCGACACAAAACGCAACTTTCTTTCGGCATTTTGAATCAACTGTATTAACAACAAAATTTAATTAGCATATATGGTTCTAAACCCTACTCTCGAAACTGGCACTTAATTAAAAAAAATTCCAAGGGGCAGCAGTAATTTTTATTTACCTTTATTAAATTAAAAGAATTTAATTATTAATAATTAACCATTTAAACAAAAGAATTTAATTACTTATTAATAATTAACCATTTAAACAAAAGAATTTAATTACTTATTAATAATTAACCATTTAAACAAAAGAATTTAATTACTTATTAATAATTAACCATTTAAACAAACGAATTTAATTACTTACTAATAATTAGCCATTTAATCTTACTTATTCTTATTTATTATTATTAATTAAACATTTAATCAAAGTAAATGTATTTAATTAAAAGAAATTATTATTATTACATAAAAACTTTCATTTCATTATTAATTTTTATATTTCACTAACTTTAACTAGCCCTTAAATTATATGTACACCTATACGCACATTTCATATAAAAACTTCTAAGCAACGTTAATATGTACAAGTCGTTACCTAAAGGTGAAAAGATGCCAAGTCCATTTTTTTGAATTTGTTCAGGAGACGAAAACTCGATGTGGTCTCGCATTATCTGTTATTCTGCACCAAAAGCTTTATTTTGAAAAAAGTGGACTTGGCAGCTTTACGCCTTTAGGTAGCGAAGTGTTGTACGCACTCTCGCACTTGTGAATAGTATTCCCACATTGGGAAAAAAAATTTAATATGATATTTCTACTTAAATTTAAGATGATATTTCTACCCGTCAGTTAGCTTAAGCTGAGATAGGCCATTTTCCCTTTAAAGTAATTAATTAATCTTATTATAGGTTTATCTCTTATCTTATCATCTCTCAATTAAATGTTAAACCCTCTAAATTCACTTAAGCTAATTTAACTGACGGGCACAGAAATGTACCAAATATGACTGAGCCAATAAATAGCAGCTAAATCCGTCATTACTTTACTTTAACCCCACTGAAATTAGTAACGCTTAAATTTAAAAATTTATTCTAATTTGAAAATATCATCTTATGAATAGGCACTGCTGAAATAACTTATTTTAACTTACATACAAAACACCGTAAACGGAGAAGCTGTGGTTATACGTGTGTGTCCACAGATGCAAAGGATCCGCCTATGAGGCTGGAAAAATGCAGCACAAAGAAACCTGCAAA